CATCATGTTGAGTTTTAGCTGGGTGTCAAAACTAAAGCTTTTACTAATTTGATATTTTTATTGATTTAACTAACATAATCAAAATCATTACACATTGATTTCAGAAGCACTTTACACTATGCAATCGATGTCACATGAATGCCAATAACAAACACATCGAAACACAGTGGTGCAAACTGACCGTCGGAGAGTATTACATCAGTAGCAGAGCATTGCCATGTTTATTTAATGAATGTATGAGATGTGTAATTTGGCACATTTGTAGCCTTTCTCATCAGTGAGAGAAATCTATTAATTTAACACTGCTGTTGATGCAGTCTATTTTATTACCAGATTTTTTTTAATGATTTTATAAATTTCTAAAGGAAAGAAGTATTAAAGATGCCACACTTTGCTTTGGATAATTAAGCACAAGACTTAATTGGTTATATATAATCAGTATATGTTATCCTAAATACTGTATCAATTTCTTTAGCTTGTGGCAAAAGAGATTTCAATTATGTTTTTCAAGAAGCCAGGCAAATGGCATTCTTGGCTCTTGTGCATAGTGTAACCAGATGTTCTGTGTTCCCATCACTTGGTGTATTTGTTGTCTGTGAGGTGCTAAATGGATAGAGAAAGTAAACCCAAAGCAATACTTCGTGATTCAGTAAGGCAGCAGGACAGGGTTACAAAGGGTAATTTTAGGACCAACATCAGGAAGTATTTATTTACACACAGCATAATCACCAGCATGGACCAAGTTACCAGGAAGGTTGGGAGAGGCCAGAACACAGGATTTGTGTAAAGAAACAGTTTGCTGCTATCATGGCAAGATTATTATTTTATTATTAAGGTAATTCTGGAAGGATAAGGTCAAATCAGCCATACCTCTCTTGCATAATCATTTGAATTACAGTATTAGATTCAATTTGCCTAAAATCTTCAAGTTTTACAAGTTGTAAAGTGTTTCTAAAATCAATGTGTAATGATATAGATATATATATATATGTAGATTTGTGATCTACCCCAGGAAGAACAAAACAAAGCATACAAATGTTACTTATAATCTTGCCAGTCACTCAAACTTCATCTTCGGATGTAACATTAAACGGAGGTCCCATCTGCCAGTTCAGGTGGATGTTAAGATCTCATGGTACTACTGGAAAATACAAGCGAGTTTCTCCCAGTTTCCTGGTCAACAATCCCCCAGATAAGATTGGTCATTCACTTCATGGCTGTTTGTGTGACATTGCTGTGCACAAATTATCTGCTGCATTCGCCTACACTCACTACACTTCTCAGTAAAGCGCTGGGAAATGTTTTGAGACATTTTGACAACATGATAAGGCGCTGTATCAAAGATGGTTATTATTATAATTATTCTGACTCAGTTGGATCAATCTCATCAGTTCTCAGTCGTACTGCGTAATGGACGGATACAAAATAATGTCTCATTCTGTCTGAAAGGGAGAAGAGAAAGGAATGGAACTAATATTGTATATCTCACCTGCTTGACGTCTGCCTCCTTCAAACAAACTTTCTTTTCAAGCATAAAATATGGACTTTTGGAGCATATGGTGTTTTGCTGTTCTTAAAATTTCCTGTGCTCTTTAACCTTTGACCAATCGTGGATTGCTATTGATGGGAATGGAAAAGCCACCTCCCATACTTGGTGGCAGTGATCGGAGGGGGGGGGTGGGGAGGAGAGATGTGTAATCAGTGTCTCCACAAGGAGAAAGGAGAAAAAAAAGTCAATAAAATAAAAGTCAGACTCAACTTAAGTAAGTTAGAAAATAATAAGGACGGTGGAGATAAATTGACCAATAAACGTCAGCCAAAAAGGAAATTGTCTCCATCCAGGTGGAAATGACATAAAAAATTATCAGCTTTTTTTATTTACCTTCTGGCTAGATTTCAAATTAAAGTTGAATCAGTGCTATTCCAGAGGATAACACTGTTCGAAACGTGACTTGGAATGAAATACTAATCTTTTGAAATAAATGTGCTTTGAACTTTCCTAGAGCAATAAAACTAGACCCGTTTTAATACTACAATAGAGGTAGTTTTGTTAACCCTCTGTGCTTGCAAAATCTTTTACGGCTTTCAAAACACCAGCCTTTTTTTTGTGTTACACCTGCGGTGATGGTTTGTGTACATTTATAATGCTAAAATCAGAAATTAAATATATTTATGGAAATGTAGCGTACTTCTTAATTTGTAGTATTGTTAAGGGTTTTTGAAACTTTCTATACATTTTGATGCAGAAATAATATTGCAGCCTTCAAAGGGTTACTAGACATGTAAATTTAATCAATGAATCTTCAAGTACCTCCATTTGAGGTAAATAGTGATGTTAATGTAATTTCCGACCGGGTTTCATATTGTTGTCGTAGGATGGATTCTAATGAGTTCAAATGGTTTAAGTAACTTTAGGTGCAGCAAATATCTGTGTGTAACGGAATGGAAATGAGATTAATTTTTTAAAGCTAGGCTAAAGGTTGACGTGTGAAAAATTGAGTTAGTTTGCAAAAAAGAAATTTGTTTCTTCGAGTAAAAATTGAGGTCAAGAGGCCAGAGCTCGCCTTGCTCCTGGATGAATCAAATGAATCAAACAACATAGCTACAGGAAAGTACGCAGATGTGAAATTTGATGATGAGGCTCTGTTTATAGTCTCAAAGATATTTGTAATATGGTTGACATTAGCTTTTGCAATGATACCAATTGTAGTATAATACCTGCTGCTCTGCTGTTAAGTGATTTCCGAATCTGATAGCTATATTTCTGATAGAGGATTTTCTTTCTAAACAGACCCAGTAAAGTGTGGTCTTAGCATTATTACCGCTTGTCCTTTTCAGATTTACATTAACACCATGTGTTTTTCGGTTATATTAAACAGCATGAAACTCATCTGCTAGTAGTATCTTTTAATTACTGTGTGCAAATTTCATCCGTAATTGAAACAAAAAGCTTTTCAGCCATCTTCCCAAACCATCTTGACAAGCTGAAACCTGAATGTTATTTTCTGGTGCTGCGATTAGATTGGGGCTGAAGTCTCCAGCTGGCAGGCCTGTCTATGACTGGAGGCGGCCTGTCCCTAGTGCTTGTCATTTCCTGACATGCCTGACAGGACAAGGAGAGCCGTCCCAGACAGATTCATTAGATGGCATTTTCTACAGCTGGGCTAAAATGAGGGCTGCACTTCATCAAGGCAACTATGGACTGGCTCTGCAGGCCCCCTTGTTGTTGGTTTTAACCAAAGCCATGTTATTTTAGCAATTTTTGTTTATGTGGTCTTTTAAAATCTTTTGCCATATTTTCCTTAAGTTTCCTTCAAGCCTACAACGTGTGCACTGCTGACACTATTGCTAAATCTAAGCTGCTATAGTTGAGACCATTGTGGTGGGATATCCAGCGTTTTATTCATTCATGAGATGGCGGAGCTTACCTTTCACCTTATTGTTGGTTGCCATTTCTTTAGTTCACGGTCTCTATGACAACTGTTTAAATTGGGATGAGTAACTGTCATCTGGAGTATTACGGAGAGAAAAGTGTTAGTGAGCATAAAGTCCCATAGATAGAGCATTTCAACATAATCCAATTTTAATTGAGCTCAAGAGACTTTGATGTGCTGCATAAGGTCAGAAAAGAGCTATTCCAGGGAGAAATTAAACCAGCCCAGCTAGGATTCAGTCCTACTGACTGTCACCATTTTAAATGAGCATTAGCATCAGCCTTAACCTTCCCCTGTGGAACATCTCACTTCACTTCCAACATTTCTCTGCCTTCTACCATATGTGAAGGTTGAGGGACTTTCATCTTTTTTTTAACACCTCCTTGATTAAGTTTGAAAAGCATGAAGCTGACCTGAGATGCACAGAAAGCTGTCAATTGGGCCCTTCTTTGCAAGTCAGGGTGGGAAAATAGAAAAAGGGAAGGGATTATTTTCACTTGTCAGTTACAGCTCGCTTGTTTTTTTCATTCAAAAGCGAGGCTGCCTTTAACCTGTACCTGTGTAACAATTAAGGTTTATTTGGTAACCAAATAATGTTAAACTCTATGATGGTTTGTTTTGTAAAAGCCAGCCGATCGGGGCGGCCGATAAAAAGTCCAACTTTCAAAACAGAGAACTGAAGAGGCTGAAATGCTCTGTGTTTAAATGGAAAAAATGTGTCTTGATAATTCTGATGGATCTTTTGTGAAAAGGAAAAGGCTCCTTTCATCTTTTTCTATACATCAGCAAATCCTCTGTGGTATTCTTAGTACAAATTTTCTTAACAGCAGCAGCAAAAAAAGGGAAAATTCCAGCACCCTCCTCTATTAACTCTTTGTGTACTGCAGTTGCATTTGAAAAACACCATGTACAAAAAAGAATTATTAATAGAATTTTCCATATTTAAAAAAATTGTGCTGAGCCTTAAAGCTTCTTTCTTATTATTGTCTGTAAAAATCAACATTTTGTTTCCATGGAAAACATGTCTCTTTTTAAATAAAATGTTAGGTGGAAAATATTCCACCCCAAAAGTCACAAGACTTCAGTTACCAATACTATTGAGTTATTGTGTCCTGAAAAGTTGTCTAGAAAATGAGTTTGCAATGTATTCAATAAACAGGTTATTTTTACAGTGAATGTGTTTAAAATAAAAAGAGTTACTTTATGAGAGTCTGTTTAGGGCAGTGTTCCCAAACTAATAGACCAATGTTACCACCCATTCGTTCTTACATGAACTGGTCATTACGAATACATTCATTCTGTTTCTTTGAAAATATAACAAAATTCTGGTTATAATTTTGAAGGAAGATGAAATAGTTGACCAAATTTGTTTGCGCTAACATGCTTCTTGAAGTTTCTTTGGAATTTATGGGAAAGTTCGAGGTCAAAAGAAGACTGTTGCCCAAATTCTGAGAATTGTTGTTTCTTTCTAGAAAGGATATTCTAGATTAATCCTCAACTCTAAAGATGTTTGAATCTATTTATTTGAACTGAATTAAATAAAATGAAATTCTTCTCAAATTTTAGGTTCTTGCCTACACAGAGGGTCTGCACGGAAAATGGATGTTCAGCGAGATCCGAGCCGTGTTTTCAAGACGCTATCTCCTCCAGAATACAGCGCTGGAAGTTTTCATGGCAAACAGAAGTATGTGCTGGTGCAAATTTAGTGTTTGTATGGCAAGAGCTCTTTTGTAATCTGGCTGCTGCTTAAAAATGTACTTGAAACAGTGGAGTCTTAGACAAAATGTTACTTCTTGAATCCACCTTTCCTGTTTAAAAAGTCTGTTTCTCATTTTTCCGCAGCTTCTGTCATGTTCAATTTCCCAGACCAGGCTACAGTGAAGAAGGTTGTATACAGTTTACCTCGTGTTGGAGTTGGTACCAGTTATGGGCTGCCACAGGCCAGGTACTGAGCATGGATATTTTTACGTCTACTTTTTCCTTGTTTTCAGCTCAAATACATTATTCCATATAGTACTTCTAAACTAACTATTACTTTAACCAAGAAAAAAAAACATATAAACAAATTATTCTCTGGCTTGTGCTAGCTTTGCCCATAAAATATACAGTCAATTCACTTTACAGTGTATTCTGTGAATTGCTTGGAGATTTTTCAACAACGTGATAAGACCCTATATCAATTGCAAGGATTAATATTATGTTATAACTTGTTTATAGGCATTATTTGCTGGTACGATTAATTGAAACGGCATAGGTTACCACATTATTTCTTTAAGGAAGCAAGCAAACTAAACGTTTTTATGCAATATTTTGATCACACCAACAGTCTAAGCAGGCAAATGTGAGATTGCTTTGCAAGATGAATACTTCAGTTGAATTCCTGAATTAACAGTTTTCATTTTAAGCCTGAACAACTAATTGTGTATTACAATATAAGGAAGCACACAGAATAAGAAAAGATCATTTAGCCCATCAAAATTGCTTCTTTACAAAATGTTTTAAAACCCTTCATTCAAAATGTTAAATCTTCTGCTGTATTGTCAGTAAGCCAGTGGTGTCAGTGCGGCTCAGTTGGTAGCACTCTCATCTCTGAGTCAGAAGGTCATCGGTTGAAGACCCATGTTGGGACTTTGAACTTGTAATCTAGGCTGACACTCGAATGCACTGCTGGGGGTGTGCTGCACTGATATTGGTATGGTGCATTATTGGAGGTGCAGTCTTTTGAATGAGATGTTAAACCAAAGTCCCATCTACCTCCTCAGGTGATTCTTTCTGAAAAGAGAAGAGAGCTTTTTTTGGTGTTCTGATCAACAGTCTCCCAAATAAAATTGGACATTCAGTTCATGTCTGGGATATTGCTATGCACAAATTAGCTCCCGAATTTGCCTATAAATACAGTCACTGCACTTTCAAATAAATCCTGTGAAGCTCTTTGAGATGTCCTCCTGATATGAAAGGCATTGTATCAAATGTAAGGATTATTATTATAGGATTAATATGATATTGTTTTCCATCTGTTCTGTGAACCTTTCCACAGGATATTGATGTGAATCAAATGATTAATATAAGAGAAATATATGTGGCATTCAACCCATGACATTATCAGTGGAACAGTAGACTGCTGACAGCAGAGCAGTGACACAAATTCAGTAAAACTTATGCAGGATTTTAACTTTCATAGATTTAATGAAAGTTATTTATTAACTTATTGACATGGATTTTTCCCAACGTTTTCTTGTATTTTTTAATGTGCTTACTCTAAAAGAAGCTATGACACATTTTATTTCATTTGTTCTTGCTACTTTTTTCTCCCCACCTCCTTTCCTGAAGGTGCTGACTTGCGTTGGGATACAATTCCACAGGTCACATGTGCCAATAGCCCTTCACCACTCACTCAAGCAGCCATTCCTCATCTATGAGTCCAGACAGCGAGCATCAGAAGTTAGTCAGCGGGACAGCTGAATCAGATCCTGTTCTCACCTAATGTCTACACCCATGCATTTTCCACTCAATCAGGAGCAAGAACATTGGATATTTTTTTCCCTCCCAAGCCAGGAACACTAAGACCAATTGTAGTGCCCCATTTCCTCAACGAGCTAAGGTTAACTAGCTCAGCGTAGACTGGGAATCGAACCTGTGAGTTTTTGCTATTTGATTTTAGAATATACCATTCAGTGCCTTTTGACAATACGACCATTGGGGGAATGCCCTGACAGCAGCCTTGCCTTTGGCTGCTCGGCCTAAAGTTAAGCAAGTCAGAACTGCGATAGGTAGCTTCTCGCTTTACCTTTAGATGCAACGAGTTAAAAGGTTCCTCACACTACCCATCGTGGGATCAGTCACCGTTTTGCTTTGGCTGTGACAAAATATCTAGCAAGGCCAGTGATTCTTCTGGCTGACTTGTATGGACCTTTCTTGCACAGCACTGCAGAGTGGTTACAGAGCAGTCACAAACACATCTGAAAACCAAGCATGCACTTACATTTTGTTTCTATTTATTGACCTTATAATGAAAGTACAGTGAATTTGACCAGGCAAGAATTGTCCAGAAACACATAAGATAACGATAGTGATTAAGCCACTTTTCTAGGTACTGTATATGTAAAAGGTTAAGATTTGCGTTGATCAAAAGGTTAGCTGTGGACATGTTAGTATTGTTGACTTTGTATGTTCATCATCACAACTAAAGAATCAAACTGGATGATTGCAAATCGCACCTTGAGAGGCTGATAAATGAGAATCTATGCAGGTTGTTTAACAGCAGTCACTGTGCACTGAAGCCGACAGAGTAACAGCATGTTTATCCTGCATAATAATTGTGCTATTTATGTTGTATAAACTGTAATCCTAAACATGGAAGAAAACAAGACGAAAGATAAACAAACCCACATGCATTCTTATTATCCACTGTACTCTGTAAAATAATAATTATTCTCATTATTGTGGAATGATATTACTACCAGGAATCTAAATAAGGCTTCTGTGCATTTTATTCGACCATTATAGTTTTTAGTGCTCCTATACCTCAAAATGAAATGGAAAGGAAAATTTGCAGTTTAAACATAATCTTCATTTGTTGATCACTTTCCACTGTTGATTGTTATCTTAATAATAGATTTTTTAAAATTGCATTTGCTATAATGCCATCAAAAATTATAGCATCGAAAATTTCTTGAAACATTTCACACAATGAGTTACTTTGAAGTAAATAGTAATTGTTGTTATGTAGATAATCATGGGAGCTAATCAGCACCAGGGCTGTCCCATAGGCAAAATTTCGACAAATTTGAATGTCGGACCAATATTGACCAAGTCACGGAAGTACTTTTAGCTCTTCTTTGAAGCAGTACCATGGGATCTTTAACATCCCCTCTAGTTTTACATTTGATCTGCAGGACAGCACCTCCAGCAATGCAATTCTCCCTCCATGCTGCACTGGAGTGGCAGCGTAGATTATGGTCCTGTTATAGTATTCCAGCTACAACCTTCTGACCCAAAGGCGAGAATCCTACCAATTGATCCAAACTGACACTCACATTTTAGGAGCTTTGCCATTCTGAATTATTGGCTTGTAGGATAAAAGTTACTGATGTAAACACATTGCCCACTCGGATGTTTTAGGTTAGAACCTGACTGCAAGTCTCAGTCCATTTCACAAATAGGTCAGTTTTATTTTTAATTTTCTTTCAGATATTTTCAGGAATGCCACCTATTTAGATCCTTTGGTATGCACTTGGCAGCATTCAAAATCTTGTCACAGATTTGAACTAGATTGTTGTATGGTGCAGTTTGAGTTGACCCTATTTACATGAAATTGAAATGAAACAAGAAATTGCATATTATTGATTACCATGTTGGCTAACTTGTAAATTTTGATTTAATCAATTATACATAAGGCAAGGGTACTATATTTGTTAATAATACCCTGTTCTTATACTTTTAACATTGTTTTTAAATAATTTCAATACTGATTCTGTGCTAAAAAAGGAAGAATAAATCAAAATTTGCTGAGTATAGGTTTGACTCCGAGTTCCATTTCTGAATGGAGGAATGGAATCAGTCATCTGCAGTCTAATGCTGGTACACTTGATTTGACCTTAAACAAATATAAAAACATAAAGTGTTAAAATTATAAATAGCTGTGCCTATCATGTTGACTCTTCATGTGATTTGGAAGCAATACTCCAGGGTATAAGGCTTCCATTGATAGTGGTCCAGTTTAGTCACCCACAAGGTGGGTATCTTTCTTACGAATGCTCCAATATAAGGCAGATTTTCATTAATCCTGTGGTCATCTGCACTTGTTAAATATGTTACTAAACATGGATACGCTGAATAATGAAATGTTTACATTTTAAATAGTAAGAATACATTTGTACAACCTGCATAGCTTGACTGTTTTTTGAAACAAGCAATAAAATTGTGTGATCTCACTCCAAAAATGCACACTTTGTTCTTAAGGATCTTGTCAAAGTGTACAAATTAGGGCATCAAACATCAATTATTTCTCCTAAATCTCACAAAATAATTTCACACCTAATGTGTCAAAACTCCTTTATAATCATATGTACCATGTCGAATCTGAACCACATAACGGACAGTTTCAATCATTTAACAACAATACATTAAAAAACCCAGACAATTGGACCAATGGAGGGGAGATGCGGTCCGTCCAGCAAGATGGAATTTCTGGCTATGTGTAATTAACGATGCTTGTTCTGGCATTTACCGGCTTTTTTCGGCACTGGCTTTTTTCAGTGCTGGTAAATGCATTGTAATTGTACTAGCATTGTAATTGCTTGAATCCAGCAAGCAGAGGACAGAGTTTAAGCTATCTTCTGCTCACGGGAATCAAATCGAGTCAAAGTTGATACCCCTGAAGACCAGCAAGTACGGTGAGATGGGTGCGCATTTAAATTTCGGATGCTGAATTTAAGCTGGGATTTATTGTGTAAAAAAAATTGTTTGATTATATCAGAGTTTCACTCTGTTCAGAAACTATGAGGGGGGAAATTAGGCAAATATACCAGTCAACAGGTAAATCAACTTGTTATTAAAAAATATTATTGAAATCACGTAACTTCTGTACCTCAGTCTACCTCTTCTTGTGGTGTTACAAAAACACAACTGCTGAGATAATGGAGAAGATACAAGACTGATTTTCCTTGCAAAGAAGATGCAAAGAAGATGTGTCCAGTAGAATTAAACATTCTCTCCTTTATGAAGGTGACACTATGCATACAAATATGTTCTGTGAGTTACAGTTTTTTCCATTTTCTTTGCAATTAGGAGAATATCACTGGCCAGTTCTCGCCAGCTTTTTAAATCCTCCAATATGACACAACGCTGGCAACGCCGGGAGATTTCAAACTTTGAATACTTGATGTTTCTGAACACTGTAGCAGGTGGGTTGCAGCCTTTGATTCCTCCTTATAGGTTTGTTTATCAAGGTTTGACTTGATAGTTTGCATTTATCTACTGGAATTCAGCTGCAGAGCCGTGATGGATACTGAAGCTATCCCATTAAATTTTATCAGGAGACACATAACCTACCACTGTGACTGTAGATTCATTTATTGTTACTGGGGTTATTCTGTGGTCTCACTCTGCCATTTCCTTTGCTGACAGCTTTGTCTGAAACTGAAGCTTTATTAGAGTCTACAAACCATTTTCAGAGTGTGTCTGGAAATAATAACGAGAAAATGTAATTTTGGTGCTTTGTCACTCAAGACAACAGCAGCAAGACAGTGGAACAACAATGGCCCAGTATTCGATTCAGTACAAGTATCCTGAGTTGTGGCAGATTAATAGAAAGCAACATACATATACATGAAAATAGGAGCTTTTGTGTTTGCATCCTGGAACATAAAATCAAGAGAGGCATTTTGCATGTTTCCCTACAACGAATGCATTTTCCACTGTTTTATTTTCTGATGTGTGTGTGGTTGAAGTTTGCACTGAATAATTGTGTATATGTTTACTTGCAGCATATGTTGAGCTTATTATTGCCATCTAATTAGATGTAACTTGAACTGCTTACATGGAGAAAAATCATAAAAAAATGCTTCCCTAATGAACTCGAGGTGACAAAATGTCTGTTAAGTGTTGGGAAGCAGACAAGCGCAGGAATACAACCCTAAACAAGATGCTGTATTCAAGCATACTTAGAAAAAAATGTCTCATCATAATATCGGCTTGATTTTAACTAGTCAAATGCATTTGTGTTTCCAGTATGGTTATTTGATTTTAAAGTTAGAATGATATTTACCTTTAAAACAAAACTGGCCATTTGACGTGTACGCTTTTTTTGGAAGTGTAAGAAAATTAGTAAATTTAGTCATCAATGTTAAGGTATTATATATAAATATTCCAGACTAGAATGCAGACATCAACTGCAAATTATTTTCTTTTAATAAGATTAGCCCCATAAAAAAACCCTGTATCATCCTGTTCTGGACGATAAGAGGAAATACGATTATATAATGTCCTAAGAATAGGCTAAGCCACGATCATAACAATGAGAGTGGGAACAGAAAAATCGCTTATGTCCAATATAATTTTTGCAATGTTAACCATTTAGAGTGTTTTAGATGTGTACGCATCATCTAAAACCTAATATGATTATCACATTTTAAAACTCCCTAGGAGTAATATTATTGCTCAGATTTCTACTACATTTTTTCCTTAGAATTTCCCCCTGTTTACAAACAGATAATTTATACTTCATTATGAAGAAATTCTTGACAACACTTGTGGCTTCAGGATTTGGACACAATATTCACCTTGATCCAATTTGGATCAAATTGATACCAACACAGGGTTGAGCATCAACCTCTTATGCATCTCATGCAGCACCAGTAGGAACTCTAAAGGTATAATAGTGAGGGAAAACGTTGCAAATAGTCATTAAGACTGCGGAAGTCTGAGTAATGTGAGGATATTGCTGTGCCATAGCAAGCCAGCGGTTTCTCAAATTTCAGCTGAATGCAAGTATTTCCCAGTATGAGTGCCACTATTGCTCAGAGGATGCTGAACAGGACAAGCTAGGCTGTGTGTTTTACAACTCTACTGCATTCTGAGGAATTTGTAGCAGAACAATCAAGGAAATGCTTGACAGGGAAAAAAAAGACAGCCAAATGCAGGAAGTAGTAAATGGGAACAAGAATTTGAAGCCAGTGTTTTTTTTTGCTTTGCTAAGACTTGGTAAGCTCACAAGCCTCCATTAATGTTTTGTTCCTTGATGTTTCATTCTCTTTTGATGTCTTAAAGAGTGTTGGAGTTTTTAAGAGTCAGATTTCTGTTGCTTCACTGCCTTTCATAAACTGCCCCATTTTTAGATCACTCAAACTTTTATCTTTAACACAACAGTTGCTTATTTAGCAGAAATTGCATTTGACAGCCATGTTTGAGAGTGAAACATTTAGCTCTCATTTATAAAGCAAAACACATTATCAGCATTCCTTCATGATATTATCTTTTCCTTACCAGGACGGACATACAATGATTTAAACCAGTACCCTGTGTTTCCTTGGGTTATTACTAACTATGAGTCTGAAGAGCTGGATCTGACCCTACCAGGCAACTTCAGGGACCTATCAAAGGTATTTTTCTACTGTGTCAGTTCTGAAGCTAAACCATTTTGGCATTTAACCATGGGAAGGGAGGAGGAGGAGGGATTTATTTCTCCCTTGGTCAACCAACACCATAAGGATTTAATTAAATGTGTCCAAAATTCATTGTAATGTACAGTTCTCAAAGTATGTAAATACATTGTGTTTTGTAGATATGTTAATGCAGGGGAAACAAATTTAATTCATTTGAATACAGCAGGTTCAGGATACTTTATGATGAAATATATTTTCATAAGGTAGGATATTTGCCTTCAAATATTTGTTTGTAGGCAGTATCTTTTATTCTGATATTTCAGTTATCTTTCAAAATATCACTCACTGCATATCATATGAAGCTAATAGCCAATGCTTTAGCTAGGTAATAATTCAGTGTTATTCGTCAAATAATGCAAGGCCTAGATTTTCCTGTTTTGTTTGTTATTACTTGACAGCTGACTTATATATTTAACATTTTTGAGTTTCCATTTGTTATCTTTATAACATTTGATTCCTTTTACCAATGGTAACATTTACCCAGCTACCTTAAAGGTTACATTGCAGCATGAAATATGATGGAATTAAATTAATTTAGCCTTTTCTGATCCATTTAGAGTAGAAATAAATGTGCATAAACTATCTATATCATATATGGAGCTAATGACTATCAGGAAGCCCCAGTATTCCATGTACCATAGAAGCTATAGAGATTAGTAATCTTTAATGAAACCAACAAACATATGATAGGAGTTTGTTGGGAAATATTCAGTAGCTGGAAATTGCTTGACTTCTCAGTGATCCGCTAAAATTTATCTTGAAACATGCCAAAACCACAAGACAGAGTGACCTTATTATGTAACACCTGCATGTTTATTTTATGAGCTGTTGGATGTTTTTGTGAGAGAATGTCTCGATGTTTGCATAACAAGACTTCTGTTAGAAGTGGGACCTGTATACTCTTATATGATGGCCCTGTTTGGTTTATTTTAATTCTGCTTCTGATTTATATCATCCTGCAAGTATACCGCCTGTGTTTTTTAAAAGACAACATCCAAAAGCATACATTATGCACTGAAATATTGCATTTAAACCTTCCCATGACAGGAATGGAGCCAGGATTTTAGATTGAGAATATGGTGTTTCATTTTATTCTACTGTTTAGCATCATCTCGTTACTGGCACCACACAAGTGAGGCAAGATTAACTCGCTTGTATCCAGGATGTTGTACTTACCTGGCTCTCCAGTTTCATACAAACCCCAAATCCACTGCACATACGAGTCACAGAAGTCAACATAAACATGCAAACGTAGCCTCATTCCCCTCCCTACACACATATTCAACCTATTTATGGGAATGATACTCTTAAGCATTGTGATGGGTTTCTGAAGGTGCTAGACACCGGGGCTGATCAAGAGTAAATTTGGAAAAGATATGCACTAGAATTCTTTCACATCATGTTAGATCCAGACTTTGAATTGGAACCAAGAAAGTGTGAATGTGAAGTCCAATCGCGTAATATTTTCTAATGGTATATAAGTAAGAACCATCTGGGCACTACTTCATCTTAAACTAATACACACTCATTTCACACTCCTATACCACAAAAAATCTAGTGCGCAATTTACGCAAGTAGTAACTTAATGTTCCCATAGGTTTGGGAAGATATATTATGACTTGCCCATAGTGGATGCTGTTTCTGCACAAGCCACATATTTTAATATGCCCTATAGAGAGGCAAGTCTCCAGACTTGTCCATTTAAATGTATGCCCACAAAATAGACAACTTCACTTTACTGCGAAGCGCTTTGAGACATCTTCATGAGGGGAAAGGCAGTATAAAGAATGCCTCTACCGTTCCATCTGCTACATCCTCCCCATTTCCCCCTTCCGTCCCGGCCCCTACCCATCCCTCCCTCCACACCTTTGAACCTGTCTCCCACTCCTCTCTCACCACCACTATAACCCACATGAAACCTACCACCTGCTCACTCGACCCCATCCCTACCCCTCTCCTTACCTCCTAGCTCCACCTCCTTGCCCCTCTTCTCACAGATATCATAAATCACTCCATGTCCTCTGGTACTGTTCCCACCCATCTCTACTCTCAATCTACCACCCCATCTCCAACCTCCCTTTCCTCTCCAAGGTCCTGGAATGAGTTGTTGCTTGTGCTGCCCACAGCACAGAAACAGCTCTGGTCAAAGTGACAAATGACATTCTACCATCTACGACCAGGGCTCCCTCTGCCTCATCATTCTCTTTGACCTTTCTGCTGCCTTTGACACTGTCGACCACTCTATCCTCATCCACCGCTTCTCCTCTCACCTCAACCTTCATGGCTCTGTCTTTGACTGGTTCAGATCGTACCTCTCACACCGCCTCCTCAAACGGCTTCTCCTCTAGCCCCTGCACCGTCTCATGCACCATTCCTCAGGGCTCTGTCCTTGGTTCCCTCCTCTTCAATATCTATATGCTTCATCTTGGTGACATCATTGGCAGACATGGGGTAAACTTCCACATGTATGCGAATGACACCCAACTCTACCTCTCTACCTCCACCCTTGACTCCAGGACCACTGCTGTTCTGACAGAATATCTGGATGAGAGGTACTTTTCTTCAGCTGAACGTCAACAAGACTGAGGCTTTCCTGATTGGCTCCCGTCAGCGCCTCCTCACCTCAGGCACGGACAGCATCACCATCCATGGTTGCACACTCCACCTTACTAAGCCAGTCTGGAACCTTGGCGTCTTGTTTGACCCTCAACTATCCTTTCTACCCCACATCTGTGCCATGACCCGCTCTACCTTCCCCCACCTCTGCAACATCGCCCAGCTCTGCCACTGTCTCAGACTGGAGGCCACTGAAACCCTCATACATGTTTTCATTACATCAAGACTCAGCTATGCAAACTCCTTGCTTGTCAACCTCCCCAACTCCTCCCTCCATAGTCTATAGATCATCCATAACTCTGCAGCCCGTGTCCTCTCCTGCACCAGGCTCCGTGACCCTATCACCCCCATCCTTGCCTGACTCCATTGGCTTCCTATCACACAGAGGACACAGTTAAAGATCCTCACCTTCAAGGCCCTCCATGGTCTTGCTCCACCCTACCTCTGCGACCTCCTAACCCCCTACCATCCTGCTCGCTCCCTCTGCTCAGGGGGCTCTGGCCTGCTTCAAGTTCCCCGCCTCCCTTGCCCCACTATTGGCGGACGGGCCTTCTGCCACTCTGCCCCCACCCTCAGGAACTCCATCCCGCAGTCCCTCTGCCTTGCCCCCTCCCTTGCGACCGTCAAGACCCATCTCAAGACCCTCCTCTTCAACTGTGCTTTCAATCACCCTGCTAACCCCCTGCCCTTCCTGATCCCCAACTCAGGTCCGAAACCCTGTCTTTCCAGTACCTTAGGACATCCTGCGATGTGAAAAGCGCTATACAAATGTAATTTGGTTGTCATTGTTGTATACCAAATGTAGAGATTGTTAATATATGTGTTGGCGGATCATTGCCACGTTATATTTTGTGAAAATATACATTTTATGCAATAACATTGAGTAAAAATAGTTTTTCATACACCTGCATGATTGGCAACAATTTACAGTACACATTATTGCTCCATTGATAAGAATCAAGAACTTTTAATGTCACATCATCCACCCATATGAGAATTTGTCTGGCAATGCTCCACACAGATGCTCTTACTTTGACAATCATTAGTTCCATAATATGATTTTTTTCTGTAAATCCTTTCAGAAGAGTCTTTCTAAAAAATGTGTCTATAGAGCTCACTTCAATGGAGTCGGAATTACTAATGCAAATTAAGATGGCTGATTCAATTTAGGGAGATGAGGGGAGACAGAAGCATCAGTTGTACGCCCAAAATTCCTGTGAGTTTTTAGTGCCAGTCTTTGGGAGATATAGGTTCCATCCAAACCACTTAAAAGGCCTTAGTTTTGCCTGAGGTTAGATCGGATTGTCTATGAATTAGAAAATGCCTAATTTTCCCACTAAAAGCAAAAATGAATACATGCAGTTCTTTGGAACCTGCTAAACTAAAAATTGTGTTGCTGGTGAACAAGAAAAAACTCTAGAGAATAAACGAATGACTTAAGGACAATAACTAGTTTTGAAAATCATCCCTAACAGTGCACTCACTATCCTCCCTCGGTACATTCCATACTCTTGTGAAAGAAAAATGCACAGGACCCAATAGTGTGCGGTTCTAGGGTAATGGGAGAGGAGGAGGGCGTGAGACACTGCCTTATGAAGGTTGCCTTGCTGTGCAGCTATGATTGCTGATTTCTTTCAAAGTCTGCTAGTTGTCTAATACGTGCTGTCCCATCATCTACCTTGCCCTCTAAGGTGCCTTGACCTGAAGGCGATGCGCAATTGTGTTGCTTGCTGCAGAACTAGAATGTTATGGCGCTTTTGGGAGGAGGAGAAGGATGTCAGCCAGGTATTACTCGTTAGGTCATCCTCTCTCCTTGTCTCTCTCTCTTTACATCTTCATCATCCTCCTTCTCCTGAGGAACAAGCCAGCTGACACCCCCTTTGAATAAGTCATTGGTGCTGCTGTTTATTTGCTGCTGCTCGTGTACCAGTGAAAGGCATCCTCATAAACTGGCAACAGAATTGAGTCTGGGTGTGAACAGACCTATGACCTGTTACACTGTTGTCATTTGTTTTAGTTAAAACATTCCCCCACCTGCCCCTCTGCTGTTCCCCTATGAAGAAAACATGCATATTCATTAATTTCTCCATTTTGTTGTCCTCATTATTCAGAACACATGCAAGATATGTTAAAAGATTATGTTTTGAACAGCATTGTGTTTTATTTATCTTAGCATTTGCACATTGAAAGTTATCCTGATTTCTGCACAGGACAAGCAGTGGCCTGACTTTACCCTTATCAGTGCTTTCCTCCTTTGGCTGCGTCTGGCAATGTTGCCAGTGATCCCAAAAAAAAATTCCATCGATAGTTCCTGACCACCT